ATTAATTAATTCGATTACTAACAATCAAGAATTAATTGATTTATTATTATTTCACCGAAGCTATCGTTCGTTCATAACATTTTTACTATGTCATAATTTAATCCACCTCATAATAATCCTTCATGAACTCACTCCGGGAACATCATCAATCTAAACATACATGGTGACCATTAATATTATAACTGCACATCATACATATAACAATATTACCCAAGACAGTGGTCTATTGGTCCAGTTCACTAAACCTCACTCGTGTGAATCAAAGCAATACGTATTGCATATATATGTCTATTTAATATCTTACGGGTTAAGAGAATGCATTAATTAACCGAGACCTATTTCATCTACGACGATCAGTATAAAACAAATCGCGCCTCTCTCTGTTCAATACATGAAAAATTGTTGATATTGTTACCATTGGAGTGGTAATACAGTCGTATTAAAATTGTTGATATTGTTACCATTGCTCCCAAAGTCGTACAAAATTACAAATGCATTAAACAATATAGCTATAGAAAATAGGTCGACAACAACTTCCATCATGTGCTCCCTGCCACAAGTGCCCCCGTGCCATCTTATTCGTCTGAGTGCAAGGTCGATCTCACTATAATATATAGGAGTGTACAAGCCATGGAAGCATTCAACCTCATTTGCAATATTGTCTCCTGCCATTGCCCACATGTCCTGGTTGTTATAAACGTAATCTACGAGCACCAGAATCCACAATTGCCATATGAGTTCACATCAATATAGCTATGTACGTATTTTAAAATTATGTACGGAATTTTGTCCACATGTAAAAAATCAAAGATATTTGTCAGCTTAGTCTTTGCAATATCATAATAATTTCATGTCACAATTTATATAATAATTTAGTTAACATTCAGATAAAATAAAAGAAATATTTCACCTTCTGCCTCTTGTGAAGGGAGAGAAGACGAGCTTTTTGGGGCACACGAAGAACTGCTCATACGCTCCACCGGACGACCTCTGTTTTTGTACTCCTATCTCTATGGTCGACACTTAATTGAATTGGTTTTTTTTTTTGTCGACCTCTTGTATTTTCTTTCACCGTAGGTTCTGTATAACCATGTTGGTCAGGGTATAGGTGAGCGTAGATGAGGTGATTCACGTGTCGCATCGTTGCAATACCGGCCGCTTCAACCCCATCGACAAAGTTCCGAAAAAATTAATGATTTGTCCATCCACTCTGGTCACCTGTCCCTACAAGTATAAGATCAAATATTCATGGAATTAAACAACATAATCTATTCTGAACATGATGTGTACTTAAAAATGAAACAGAAAGTAGAAAATTCTCAATAAAACCTGAACCTTAAATAATAAATATATTTTAATATATCATATTTTGACATTATGTGTATATGCATATGTAAAAAAATAGTTTAGGTAAATTTAATAAATTTATCAATCTCATAATTATACCCGACTCTAACACATCTAGTGTGCTCCAAAAAATGTGGATACTGTCGACTGTAATCTGCTCTTCAGAAGTAGGTGTCGCCCTTAGCTGACAAGCACAATGAAGTCCATGAGTGGATCTTAGTGCACAACCACAGCGCGAGTCAACCCCATCACTCAAGTTCACATCTGATGAAGCTCATCATTCAATAAATTCAGACAGTGATGCAAGACCTACACTGCCAAGTACACGAAAAGGAATCTTGTATACTGTATAACCTTCCTAAGTCTTGAAGACTATAATGTACCTGATAATACATTACATAATATTAGACCCAATAAAAATCATAATGTAGTAATAACATAGTAAATATGTGTAGCTTAATAAATGTACCTAATTTGAGTCAGTTGAGACTCAATCTCCTTATCGAACTTCTCGCATACTGTATCGAGAGAACCAATTGACGTGTTAAGTCACTGCTTCAACACAGCGCGTGGGCACTCTCACCCTACACGAAGTTGTGTTACCAAAATGTGTTACAGAATTCGTCCATGCTTTTACAAACTTTTCCTCGTGTACTAACCATGTGTGCTGAACATATTGTAACACTCCCTTAAACTTCGCGTATCGACCATACAGATCACTAATGACAGTGTGGTATTCATCCTCTGTACTCGCTTTGAAAACCTTCTTCCACATGTCGTGCACAAACTTCTGAGTGAAATCCTTCTTTTTTCCAAGGAGTCGATAGGCTCTGCCTTCCAAATCCTTGTTGATGTGTCACGTGCAAAGTAAGTAGAGAGATTCTTAAATAATCCTTCGATAGGAGTCATCAAGTCTAACTCCTTGTCAATGACAATGGTTGAAGGATGTACATCAGACCCTATCGAAAGTCTCAACCTTTGTAGAACCCAGTGATAGTTGTACTCACTCTCGTCCTTGATAATTTCATATGCAACTAAAATGTTCTTGTCGCACAGCGTCATCCCAATAATTTTCACAAACGACATCTGGTACCTGTGCAAATGAGAGAAACAAGAGAAACCATAGATCAGAAAACTCATTCAAACATACTAATTAATATTCTTAATAATTTGTTATTTATAAAGTAACAAACATGTTGGTTTTGTACGTCGAATCTATACTGATGTATCAGTAATATGTTCGAAATAGACTGACTGCTTAAGGATGCGACATGAACAGATGTGTCAACACTTGTGTGTCTTCATCAACATGTGTATAAACTATATAATTACTATCCAAAACCAAATGCAGAATCTGGGTAGTCACATCTCTACCTCGAAACTATCTCTCCACAATTTATCTCTATAGTTATACACATGTCGCCGAGTAGTGCTGGATCGCATCCAAAATTACTGTTGGTTTCGCCTGAGCAGCAGTCATATCACGGACAATAACTTTAGATGAAGCGCTAAGTCTGTTCATCTGTCGATGACCCTCAGCATATATAGCCAAAGCATGATTATGCATTTCCCTATCACCATCAAGACTTACCGGATCATCCAAGATGTAGATTCTGCCACTTGTTTAATTGTTATCTAAAAATGGCATTTGCACGCTTTAGTTTTGGAACGTCTCACACCAGCCTGATCCAAATCTCCTAAACTGCCTCGATAACATTTCCCTCGTGAACATCTCAAAATCTTCAGCCTTCCTTCTTTGTTATGTGAAAAAATGACAAATTTAAAACCATGTATAATTGCCATTCCTTTTTCCCATGTAATAACTTCTTTACCACTATCAGATAGTTCTCTGTAATTAAAGCAACATTTTAATCAACTCTCTCTCCTTCCAAATTTTCGAATGGCACCTGCAATATATTACAATGTTGACAATTTTACAAGATAATTAATTCTAACTTATAACATAATAATTTCTGAATTCTAACATAATAATAATAAATTTTAATCTATAACGTAACTGATATAGCCATACTGTCGTGCATCGGTTCAGTAACCGCGGCATTGTCACGATTGGCTCATAACGGTTCATATCGTCACGGTTTGAGATTACCGAGTCGACTTCGTCAAGGTCGACTCTATTAGTAAGGTTCCATGAGACTCAGTCAAGAAGCCCGGCTCTCGACCGAGTCAATGTACACCTGTCGACTAGAGTAAGTCGACTTCTGGTAAGAAAACGGTCAGACGTATTAAGGTCTACTAACAGTTGAGTGTGACCCAGTCGACTCGACGTAATGTCTCAGG